CCTGCGTGAAATTTTGAACTTTGAATTGAAATATTGACACAACTGGCGTACTCATGGGGAAATGCAAGAATTTTCCGAGACCACTCCTTTAACACCTGCAATCGACCTCTTCTTGGTTGCGGCTTGTACATCGTTGGACGCCAGCGAGCAAATAAAGGGGTCCTATTTAGCGTGTTGGATTGATTGGATTTGTCCGTTTTTTTGGGTTGGCATTATTTAGCGCCCACCCTTCTACTGTAAATTTAACTCAATTCTTTCGTAATCCTCGCTTCAAATGTAATGAAAATCGCAAAATAAGTTGGACTTCAAGTTTCATTCCAGTAATGATTCTCCAAATCTACTGCTTGAAGGAACGCTAGTGGACGACGTCATTCTTGAGAAGATTAGGGAGATTACTGGGAGAAGTGTGACGAAAGAAGAAGCTACGGACGTCTTCAAAGAGGTCAGGATCACTGTAATAATATATCAAAGTTTCCTTTCCGAGGAAAACCGGGGTACTGTGGATGAAAATTTCATAGTTATGAGTTAGACGCGTGGTCGATATGAAGAAAGTATAGGTCAGACTCCTATAGAGCAGGATATGCTTGGACACATGAACAACGTTGCACAAAGTAGCAATGGGCAGAGAAGTCTAGGATTAGTGGTCAGGATGCACGGAGTACAAACAACCTCGCTCACTTTCACCCAAATGGGTGAAAGTGTGTGATGGTGATAGCAAGGTGAAGGAAGAAGCACCTTTCCCCTGGACACGTTTCTCAAATGGGCGGTGTATGAAGAATCATGATCTTGGTACTGAGACATCCTAGGGAGCAAAAATGGTAGATGAGGAATGTCTGAAGTGGACTAGGCACGGCCGAATGAAGGGAACTTTTCCGAACTTGGTGGGAAGGGTGCCCTCTCAAGTGGTTATTGTATACTGACAAAAGAGGAGACGTCAAGTTGATGGTGAGTGCAGCGTGGTGGACCGGGTTGGAGTCAAAAATTTCCAGTCATGCTTTGAGACAACAAGGAAGCGTCGAAGTC